TGCAGGGCCCAGGGGTGGAGATAGTTTGCTGTGGTGTGGGAATGTAGACCAAAATCCACCTTGGCCAGTTCAGAGGGGAGGACTTCAGTGGAGGCTTTGGTTTCCCACTGAGTTGAAGCCAGGCTTGATTTTTTTGGCCTGGATAGAGTGATGAGCCTTCTGACTAAAGGAGACCAATCTCTTGGAGACCAGTGTGATCACACCCTCCCTTTCCCCATTGGCATCTCCCCAGTGCCCACCTGGAGTCCTCCCCTCAATTGTCTCATTCACCAACTGTCTTCTTCTCTCGACTAGGTATGGTTCCGACCGGCGTTTAGCCGAGCTCTCTGATTACCGCCGTTTATCAGAGTCGCAGCTTTCGTTCCGCCGCTCGCCGACAAAGTCCTCGCTGGATTACCGTCGCCTGCCCGATGCCCATTCTGATTACGCACGCTATTCGGGCTCCTATAATGATTACCTGCGGGCGGCTCAGATGCACTCTGGCTACCAGCGCCGCATGTAGGGCCATCCTGGGATGGGGCACCACAGGGCGGGAGGGAGAAAAGAGGTGGGTAGGGTTACAGATCCAGGTTATAACTACTCTGGCCCATACCTTTCCTGGTTGTGGTATTTCATCCCCTCTACCATGTGGGCCTTCCCCAGGAGATGATCCTTTTGAGTGTTCGGCAGTAACCTACTTTGTTCCTTCGCCTCAGCAGCAAATCTTGCTACTGGCTCTAGATCTGCGGTTTTCCCTCTGCCCTGCCTCCCGTCTCCCCAGAATGGGAATTTCTTTTATGTTTTTATTTTTTTCCTGGCTCCTTTTTATTTTTGTGCGCGATATTTAAGGTCGTCTGGATGGGGAAGCAACCTGCAGCTGAGGTCGCCGGCGCCTTTTTCTTTTTAGATGGGAAGGAGGCCAGGAAAGGGTTAGCTTAACCATTTCCTATGCGCCAAGCTGTGCCAGCAGTCCAGGGTACCCTGACTGTCCCTCTGTAGACTGTTGAGACTGAGTTCCTGTTGGGACAGTCAGTTGGCATGTATCCAAGTCCCTGCTGACCGCTAATGTTCTAGCTGATGGTGAGCGGCACAGTCCCACTTCCCCATCTCCCCAAGTAGGTTCTTTTTTTTTTTTTTTTTTTTTTTTTGAAATGGAGTCTTGCGGTGTCACCCAGGCTGGAGTACGGTGGTGCCATCTTGGCTCACTGCAACCTCCACCTCCCAGGTTCAAGTGATTCTCCTGCCTCAGCCTCCCGAGTAGCTGGGATTATAGGTGTGCACCACCACACCTGGCTAATTTTTGTATTTTTAGGAGAGACGGGGTTTCACCACATTGGTCATGCTGGTCTTGAACTCCTGATCTCATGAGCCACCGCACCTGCCTAAATGGTAAGTTTCCTAAGATAACAAGTCAGTGATACCTGTATCTGGAACTGAGACCATTGAATTCTTAATTAAGGATCCCTTTTGTGCTGTGCCACGCTTCTGACTTCTACTTATTGATTGTATTTTTTTCCCATTATCCTGAGGTTTGTGTCATTGTCTTCAAATCCAGGGAAATGTCTTGTTCTGTAGGAGCAGCTAGATGGGCATCCCAGTACGAAAGTTTCTAAAAATGAGGACCCTTGTTTGGAGATTATTAAGAATGTTTCTTATCTTAGTATTGTCATCCAGGTAGCTCTTTGTTTCTTAAACTGATGTGACAGATAGCATCCTGGTACTTGGATGCTATCTGAGAGTAGCCACAGGTAGAGAATGGAGCTAAGCTCTGAACCCTATTTCCTAGGGGCAGGCTTCTCTCATTCAGATTCTGCCTGTGCTATTGTGCTTTGTGAGTGTGGACTTGAGAATTTCTCTCCACTCCTTCACTACCTGAAGTTTTATCCTTCTGTGTGGTGGATAAGTATATAATTTTGAGACCAACATCCTGTCTTCTCCTACCCTACCACAGCTTACTCAGATCATAATGAGAGCTGCAGGGTTAACCTGCTTAGCAGAGCCTGTTAGCTGCAGTAATTGCAGCTTCATGCCTTATAGGTGAGAAACCAGATATTTCCTGTAAGCAGTCTGCTCTGTGAACAGAAGCCCAAGGTATAAGGTATACCTCTGTCCCTTAAAGAGGAAACAGTGGAGGATGTAATGTGGTCTGGGACAGGGGGATTGGGCATGAACTCAGCCACTAGGCTTAGTTTCTATTGCCATACCTCGTTGGCTTACACAGGGTCCATGTTCTCTGCTTCTAAGCTTTAAGTTTTAGTCATTTGACACGGTCCTGCCTTATACCTTGACTTTTCAGGGATAGATTGTGTAGCAAAGGGGCATTCGAAGAGCTGTGATTCTGGTCCTGACTCTAACACACTTTGAGTGGGGCAAGCCATGTAAAAACTCTGAGCATGTATGTGTGTCCATCTGTTAAATGGAGATAACGATTCTTTGCCCTGCCTACCTCACAGGATTGTGAGGCCCAAATGAGGTCCTCCCGTACCTGAGAGTGCCTTGAAAACTTGGGAAGTACTGTGAAAAAGCAGAGATCATATTGGAACAATGTTGTGAACTGCTTGCTTGTTGCAGTCTAACTCTCTTGCCTTAATTGGACATGGGCTGAGAGATGGGTCATACCAAAACGTGAGTGGTCATTTCCAGTGTTTGAGAGTTAGGCTTCAACAGTGAGCTAGGCTTCAAAGCTGTTTGGTGAGCTTGGGTTGAGAACATTGAAGAATTGAGTGATCTAGGAACCCTTTCTGCATTTTGTTCTGCTGGTTTGTACTTACAGGAGATGTGAAGATTTTTATCCTGTGTTGCAGTTCATCTCTGCTCCTCCTCTCACCAGGAAGTTGGGTGAGGTGGCAGGGTTTGTAAAGGGGAGAATGGGAAGAAGGCTGTAGGCAAAGATGACTGTTTGGGACAGTCAGAAGCTTTGTTATATGGGAGCTACATTTTATGACACACTCCTGGAGAGGAGGGTTTGGAGGCCCTGGAGGTAGCTGGCAACAGCTGGGTGCTGTTGTGTGTCCAGTTTGGGACCCATCAGGTAGCATGCCCTGCCCCCCTAATTGCTAACCCTCTGTCTGCTGCTTTATCAGACTACGCGTTTGTTCACATGGAGAAGGAAGCAGATGCCAAAGCCGCAATCGCGCAGCTCAACGGCAAAGAAGTGAAGGGCAAGCGCATCAACGTGGAACTCTCCACCAAGGGTCAGAAGAAGGGGCCTGGCCTGGCTGTCCAGTCTGGGGACAAGACCAAGAAACCAGGGGCTGGGGATACGGCCTTCCCTGGAACTGGTGGCTTCTCTGCCACCTTCGACTACCAGCAGGCTTTTGGCAACAGCACTGGTGGCTTTGATGGGCAAGCCCGTCAGCCCACACCACCCTTCTTTGGTCGCGACCGCAGCCCTCTGCGCCGTTCACCTCCCCGAGCCTCTTATGTGGCTCCTCTGACGGCCCAGCCAGCTACCTACCGGGCCCAGCCGTCAGTGTCACTGGGAGCTGCCTACAGGGCCCAGCCTTCTGCCTCTTTGGGTGTTGGCTATCGGACTCAGCCCATGACAGCCCAGGCAGCCTCTTACCGCGCTCAGCCCTCTGTCTCCCTTGGGGCCCCATACAGGGGCCAGCTGGCTAGTCCTAGCTCCCAGTCTGCTGCAGCTTCTTCACTTGGCCCCTATGGTGGAGCCCAGCCCTCGGCCTCAGCCCTTTCCTCCTATGGGGGTCAGGCAGCTGCGGCTTCTTCGCTCAACTCCTATGGGGCTCAGGGTTCCTCCCTTGCCTCCTATGGTAACCAGCCATCCTCTTACGGCGCCCAGGCTGCCTCTTCCTATGGGGTTCGTGCAGCTGCTTCTTCCTACAACACCCAGGGAGCAGCTTCCTCCTTAGGCTCCTACGGGGCTCAGGCAGCCTCCTATGGGGCCCAGTCTGCAGCCTCCTCACTAGCTTATGGAGCCCAGGCAGCTTCTTACAATGCCCAGCCCTCGGCCTCTTACAATGCCCAGTCTGCCCCATATGCTGCACAGCAGGCTGCTTCCTACTCTTCCCAACCTGCTGCCTATGTGGCGCAGCCAGCCACAGCTGCTGCCTATGCCAGCCAGCCAGCAGCCTACGCCGCACAAGCCACTACCCCAATGGCTGGCTCTTATGGGGCCCAGCCAGTTGTCCAGACCCAGCTGAATAGTTACGGGGCCCAAGCATCAATGGGCCTCTCAGGCTCCTATGGGGCTCAGTCGGCTGCTGCGGCCACTGGCTCCTATGGTGCCGCAGCAGCCTACGGGGCCCAACCTTCTGCCACCCTGGCAGCTCCTTACCGCACTCAGTCGTCAGCCTCATTGGCTGCTTCCTATGCTGCCCAGCAGCATCCCCAGGCTGCTGCCTCCTACCGCGGCCAGCCAGGCAATGCCTACGATGGGGCAGGTCAGCCGTCTGCAGCCTACCTGTCCATGTCCCAGGGGGCCGTTGCCAACGCCAACAGCACCCCGCCGCCCTATGAGCGTACCCGCCTCTCCCCACCCCGGGCCAGCTACGACGATCCCTACAAAAAGGCTGTCGCCATGTCGAAAAGGTACTGTATGCCCCCCCGCCTCTGCCCCCAGCTGGGGCTTAGGGCAAGGGGCTGAGGTTGGCATGGGAGGGAAACTGGAGGCATCGGCCCCTCCCTTGGTCTTCTCTTCTCTATTTCCGTGGGATGTCCAGAGGCCGAGGGGAGCAGTGTCAATAAACTTCTCTGGTCACCAGGGTTCAGGTGGAGCATAGTGCTCAGCCTGGGGAGGTAACTGCTAGTCAGACCAGGCACACTGTCACCTGTCTAGGCTAGCCCAAGTGTCATTGGAGCTACTGCCTGCAGGACTGTGGCCCGTATCTTTTCCCACTGTCTCAAGGATCCTTAAGCCTATTACGTGGTTGTCCTGGCTTTGGCAGGGATGGGGGTTAAAGAGTAGTCCCTTTGGCACTCACTGGCTAAAGGCAAGTTTATGAGGTGCGTCCACTCTGGGAAGTTGGGGACCTTGCTTTCATCCGCCGTTTTGTTGATAAACAACCAAGGTCTTTCTCTGCAGGGCCCAGGGGTGGAGATAGTTTGCTGTGGTGTGGGAATGTAGACCAAAATCCACCTTGGCCAGTTCAGAGGGGAGGACTTCAGTGGAGGCTTTGGTTTCCCACTGAGTTGAAGCCAGGCTTGATTTTTTTGGCCTGGATAGAGTGATGAGCCTTCTGACTAAAGGAGACCAATCTCTTGGAGACCAGTGTGATCACACCCTCCCTTTCCCCATTGGCATCTCCCCAGTGCCCACCTGGAGTCCTCCCCTCAATTGTCTCATTCACCAACTGTCTTCTTCTCTCGACTAGGTATGGTTCCGACCGGCGTTTAGCCGAGCTCTCTGATTACCGCCGTTTATCAGAGTCGCAGCTTTCGTTCCGCCGCTCGCCGACAAAGTCCTCGCTGGATTACCGTCGCCTGCCCGATGCCCATTCTGATTACGCACGCTATTCGGGCTCCTATAATGATTACCTGCGGGCGGCTCAGATGCACTCTGGCTACCAGCGCCGCATGTAGGGCCATCCTGGGATGGGGCACCACAGGGCGGGAGGGAGAAAAGAGGTGGGTAGGGTTACAGATCCAGGTTATAACTACTCTGGCCCATACCTTTCCTGGTTGTGGTATTTCATCCCCTCTACCATGTGGGCCTTCCCCAGGAGATGATCCTTTTGAGTGTTCGGCAGTAACCTACTTTGTTCCTTCGCCTCAGCAGCAAATCTTGCTACTGGCTCTAGATCTGCGGTTTTCCCTCTGCCCTGCCTCCCGTCTCCCCAGAATGGGAATTTCTTTTATGTTTTTATTTTTTTCCTGGCTCCTTTTTATTTTTGTGCGCGATATTTAAGGTCGTCTGGATGGGGAAGCAACCTGCAGCTGAGGTCGCCGGCGCCTTTTTCTTTTTAGATGGGAAGGAGGCCAGGAAAGGGTTAGCTTAACCATTTCCTATGCGCCAAGCTGTGCCAGCAGTCCAGGGTACCCTGACTGTCCCTCTGTAGACTGTTGAGACTGAGTTCCTGTTGGGACAGTCAGTTGGCATGTATCCAAGTCCCTGCTGACCGCTAATGTTCTAGCTGATGGTGAGCGGCACAGTCCCACTTCCCCATCTCCCCAAGTAGGTGGTGTTAGAAAACTTTAATTTTTTTTCCCTTTTGTATGGACTACAAATAAAACTTGGGGCAATTTGCAGTTTGGAAACCTGGTTGTCATTGTCTTGATTGCATTCAGTGTCAAAGCAGCCAATTTGACATCCAGGAATACATGATAGCTAAAGGGAAGGCAGTCAGAGAACCCAGGACTGGTGAGGAAAGGGGTTTGAATGTGGGAATTAGAAGGATTGCCCTGTGACCCAGAAGGATTTAGCTTATCGTCGTCCTGCTAGCCTGCCATCTTTCAGATTGGAGTCCAGAGCAAGTGGCCTGGTCCTCAGCCCTCAACTTGAGTTAGTCACACCAAAATGCAGTAAATAATGCCCATTTTCCTCTGCCTGTGCTTGATCATTTTCCCTCACTTTTCTCTAGTTCAGGAATAACCTGTGTTCCAATGGGATGGTTCTGGGGTTTGGCCTCTCAGGAAGTGGGGAGTGGGCTGCTGTGGTATTTACAGGCTAGTGGATCCTTTAGGCAGTAGGCTTAAATGAGTGCTGGGGCTGGAACCCAGAGAGGAACCAGTAGTGGAGTGGGGGTAATGGCATTGCCTGATACTGCCCTATGGTTGGAAGAAGGAAGGGCAGAGAAAACTTGAAGCAGGTATGGGGCATTCTGGTCGTATTTTGCCTGTTGAGCTGTTACCATGGAGCATCCTCCTGTGTCCTGCCAACCCCTGCCATTATAGTAACCGGAGACTCTTTTCCCTATTCCTATCTGTTAAGATTTTCAGATGTCCTCTCTCTGGGTTTATATTTGAAGGTATAGAATCTGGGAAGGGGTGGGGTGCAAGCATAACCAAGTAGGGATGCTAGGGTTGGGTGGGGAATTGAGGACTCTCTTTATGCTTTTATTCTAGGGCTGGGGATTGAGGACCTGGGCAAAAAATAGGACATTTCCAACCAGGGACAAGATGGAGGCTTGGGCTTAATGCTGGGTAAACGGAAGACTGGTTGAGTGGGATAATGGGAGAACATACTGCTCCTTTGGGAAAAGGAGCTTTAAAGACTGGGTTTGGGAGCCTATTGGGGCAAGGCGACTTTGGGGAGGTGTATGTGTCAGTCAGGTGGAGGTCAGGTGGGTTGTCTTACGCCTCCTTTACTGGCTTCATGTGAACTTGCCTGTGACAGTATCTTGCCCTAGATGTCCTCTTCCCTCTTGCCAATGTGCAAAAGCATTCAATCTTATGACTGTGAGTTCTTATTTGTGGATGCTAACTGGGGTAATCTCAGGGAGTACTGGGGGCCATGGCTCTTTGCCTTGCTTCTCTTTCTGCTCACTGCTTTGCTTTCAGGTGCTTAGCTGCTCCTTTTTATTTCTTTGCAGGACTGGGAAAGAATGGGAGGAGGATTTTGATAAGTTTCTTGTTTTCTGTGTGGTGATGGGGTGGTCTGAGGGTCAAGCTAATAAGCCTACCTTTGGTTATTACCCTGGAAAATGGAGGGTTGATGGTAGGGTTATGATTGTGGCCTGCATATTTGCAATTTTTCTTTGTCAATGTGGCTTTCTGTCATCTTCCTTTCTCTCCAGTGAGGGTTCTGCCACTGTCTCAATCCCTTGGTTCCTGCAAAAAACAGCTAAATGTGCTCTCAGGGCCCGTGGTGATGTTCTCTGTCGCAGCCCCAGGTCTTGAAAGTGACCTGGCCCAGATGAGCGCTCTGCCTGCTTGTCATCTTTAGGTCCTGCTGCCCCTGCTGCCTCAGCCCTCAGGCTCCTAACTGCTCAAGTCAGAAGGAGCTACAAAGCCAAATCATTTGTCATTTTTCTCTTGCAGATTGTTTTAAAATCTCCCTCCCCTCTTTTATTTTAATTATGTCACCTGTGTTAATCCTATAGCCTGCTTCTTTGGTTTGTGGATTGCTGATTTGAAGTTCTATAACTTGGGGAAAGTTGGGTCGAGTGAATGGGAGGACAGACATTGAATGTGTGTTCTGGAAAAATGGACTCTCTATCTTCAGATTATTCAACTTCTCCACCTATTACCTCTACAACTTGGCCTTCGTTGGAGAAGTTTTAGTTGGCTTATTCCTGGAACAAGACCACCTAGAGGCTTTTAGCCCTGTCACCCTGCCCTCTTCTGAGGTTTGGACCTTGTTTTAAATTCTGTGTGTGGTGAACTTGAGACCATCTCTTGTAATGGAGGTAGTGGGACTATCACTGAGGGGGTCAGCCTATCCAGGTAGGCTACTGTTGTAGTCAAACCCATCACTTAAATTCTGCCACAGTCTGTGCACAGACTGTTGGTTGATCCTCCAGGCATTTTGTCCTATTAAGCCAAATAGGTGGATATCATGGGATGGATGAGGTCATAATGAAAACAGATTTACTAGATTTATGGACCTAGTATACTATGTACATATGGAAAACTGAATTTTACAATCTATAGGTACCTTTGAATGGTCATAAAGAGTAAAAGTCTATAGTTTTCTAGAAAATAATTCTTAAATCTGGGTTTCATGTCTAGATTTAAATCATATCATGTATCTGTAGTGCTTCAAATGTGGCCAGGTGTGGTAGCTGACACCTGTAATTCCCAGTGCTTTGGGAAGCTGAGGCAGGAGGATTGCTAGAGGCCAGGAGTTTGAGGCCAGCTTCGGCAATACAGTGGGACCTTGTCTCTACCAAAAAAAAAAAGGCCAGCTGTGGTGGCACGCACCTGTAGTCCTAGCCACTTGGGAGACTGAAGCAAGAGGATTGCTTGAACTCAGGAGTTGGAGGTTATGATCACGCCACTGCACGTCAGCCTGTGTGACAGAGCAAGACCCTGTCTCAAATAAGAAACAAATGCCTTGCTCAGCTAGCTGAGGCAGGCTTTGGGCTGACCTTGAGGGAGTTATTGTCTGGGAGGCAGGACCTACCTCAGTGAGCTAGTTTATATGAATAATTATTGTTAGGCAAGTGGTAGATAAGGAAGGAGAGAATGTGGCAGTAGTCGCAGGTAGTTAAAAATTTTTTTGGAGAAATGGTTTGATTTAAAAACCGACTTGGGGCAGGTGTCATGGCTCAGGTCTGTAATCTTAGCACTTTGGGAGGCCGAGGTGGTCGGGTCCCTTGAGTTCAGGAGTTAAGACCAGCCTGGTATACATGGGTAAACTTCATCTCTACAAAAAAAAATTAGCCATGGTGGTACGTACCAGTAGTGCCTGTAGTCCAGCTGAGGCTGGAGGATCTCTTGAACCTGGGAGATGGAGTTTGCATTGAGCTAACGTCATGCTGCCGCACTCCAGCCTGGGCAACAGAATGAAACCCCATCTGAGGAAAACATAAAAACAACAAAAAAAGTAAACTGACTTGGTATACACAAGAGTGACCGTTGTCTCTTTAATCAGGTTTTTAAGGTTTGTTTTTTTTTTTTTTTGAGATGAGTGTCACCCAGGCTGTAGTGTAGTGGCGCAATCTCCACTCACTGCAAGCTCTGCCCCCCGGGTTCCTGCCATTCTCCTGCCTCAGCCTCCCGAGTAGCTGGGACCACAGGCACTCGCCACCATGCCTGGCTTTTTTTGTTTTGTTTTGTTTTGTTTTTTTTGAGAGGGTCTCACTATGTTGCCTAGGCTACACTTGAACACATGGCTTAAGTGATCTTCCTACCTTGGGCTCCCAAGTAGCTGGGACTACAGGAGGTTTCCTGAATTTGAATCCTGGCTCTACCTCTTCTTGGCTGTGTGATCTTGGACATATCAGGAGCACTGTCTCTGTTTTGTTACCTATAAAATGAGGATAATAGCTAACTACAATAAATTAATTAATACAACAAACTAAATTTATATTAGTGTAGCCAACACAATTATATTAGTCTTCGTAGCAACTCACATGCGTTAGCTATTTCTTTTTTTTTTTTTTTTTTTAAGATGGAGTTCTGCTTCTTGTGCCCAGAGGGGGCAATGGCGTGATTCTCGGCCACTGCGGACCTCTGCGCCTCCTGGTTCAAGTGATTTTCCTCCCTCAGCCTCAGTAGCGATGGGATGTGTAGCAAAGTGGCCTGCCACCACATCCAGCTAATTTTTGTATCTTTAGTAGAAGACAGGATTTCACCATGTTGGCCAGGGACTGGTCTTGAACTCCTGACCTCGAGGTGATCCACTTTGCCTGGCCTCCCACAGTGCTGATGATTGATGGGTGTGACCAACATGCCTGGCCAACATGTAGCTTTTTTTTTTTTTGGTTTTTTCTTGGAGATGGAGTCTTTGCTCTGTTGCCCAGGCTGGGGAGTGCAGTGGCGCGATCTCGGCTCACGAGCAAGCTCTGCCTCCCGGGTTCACACCATTCTGCCTCAGCCTCCTGAGTAACTGGGACTACAGGTGCCCGCCACCTCGCCCGGCTAATTTTTTGTATTTTTAGTAGAGATGGGGTTTCACCGTGTTAGCCAGGATGGTCTCGATCTCCTGACCTTGTCATCCGCCCGCCTTGGCCTCCCAAAGTGCTGGGATTACAGTCGTGAGCCACCACGCCTGGCCAACATTAGCTATTTCTAAACCTATTTTGTAAATGTGGGAGTTGAGGTTGTTGGTTAAGTGACTATGTTTTTTTTTTTTTTTTTGATATGGAGGCTTGTATCACCCAGGCAGTAGTGCAGTGGCGTGATCTTGGCTCACTGCAACCTCATCCTGGGTTCAAGCAATTCTGCCTCAGCCTCCTGAGTAGCTGGAACTACAGGGATGCACCACCACACCCAGCTAATTTTTCTGTTTTTAGTAGCGGCAGGGTTTCACCACATTGGCCAGGCCGGTCTCGAACTCCTGATCTCAAATGATCCTTCCACCTGGCCTTTCAGAGTGCCGGGATTACAGGTGTGAGCCACCATGCCCGGCCTTAAGGTACTATTCTTAAGATCAAATGGCTACAAAGTTGGTGGCTCAAGGAACTGAACCAGACATTGGAACCATCTAGGGCTTTGTTTATAATCGTTGTGCTGTACGACTGTTGGGAGAGTCAAATGAGAACATGTGACACGTATATATAGTCACTTCTCGTGAAATGTTAGCCATCTCATATTAATGAGTTAGAACACTCTGGGGACACTGGGATGGCCTAGTGGAGCAGCACACAGCTGAT